TCTTTCCCTCCCCACAGACTTACCAGCTGGACACTGCTCTCCAAGCTGCCAGGCTGCATTCCTGGCCGCATGCATGCTGAGGCTGCATGCATACACACAGCATTTAAATCGGTGACATCACTGGCCAAAAAAAGCTGATGACCAATAATGTTAATTTTCCTTTTATCGGTGCCAATACGATATGCGACTGATATATCAGTGCACCTCTAGACATTTTTACGCATCTTATCAATCTCTGACTACCTGAGGTATGTTTCGCACACTACTTCATGGCCATCCAAAATACCCCAAGGCCTTACTCCAGGCAACAACAGACCACATCTTTATTTGGTATTTAAGTTAAGGAATGTACTTAAAATGCACTTAAAATTGACAGATATCTTGTAAGACATTGCTTACTTCAAAAAAGTTAAGAATGCGGAGTAAAACAACAGTCCAAGCTGAGGTGTTCCCATGAACATGTCAAAGCCAAACATGCATTTTTCAACGGCACGGACTTTCCCAAATACTGGATAGCACCTCTTGAAACTTGCTATTCGTAGAGGTTCTAGGTTAGAGACTCTAGGTTTTAGTAGAAAAATCCTGACCAGCTCTAGTCTTGTACTTAAATCCCAAATGAAAGTTGTCCAACAAGAACTACAGTACATCCTCCATTATCCATACCCATTTGTAAAGCATCTGCTGAACAGCTGTTCAGATTTCTGACTGAATTCAGAAAATTGAAAGTTACAAATTACTGCATCAGACTGAAGAACAGAGATATAATATTATATTAAATACAATTTAAAAAGGAGAACACAACAGTTAAAAGTTAGTAAAAAAATATCACTGGTAAGGTAAATGAGGAAGTTTGTGTATTCAACAGTACTGTGCATAAAATGACACAGTGGTCTCCATCCAACTCCTAGTGGATAAATATGCACATTACAAAAAACCATCTCAGAAGAAGCTCCAAAAGAATCTAAATGGAAAATGAACTGGCCTTTTCACTCTAGGAGACAATATCTCACAACAGGCCAATTCATTTTGCCCCTACCAGGGACTTTACACACTGTTGCTGAACTTGTCTATAGATAAAAACCAGAATCCAGTTTCCAGTGCCTTCATCTACTGTTTGGGAAAAGTGACATACTAACTTTAAAAAAATATAAATGCTTAGAACAGTCTCTGGACTGTAATTTGTAGAGAAATGCAACTGCACTAAAACTATTAGAAAATACCTAAAATAATTATGCCTCCCATAGCATCATTACTGCACAATTCAGAAATGTAGCAAAACTGATTACAAACTAAACATTTCCCATACCTATTTGCGTATCTCAGTGTATTTAGAGTGTTTTCACATGAGGCCATCCCTGGAGAAATAGTAGCAATCTAAGGGGAAAAAAAAAACAAGTTAACAAACCTTTTTGTAGAAAGCACAACACTGTAGAATATAACAAGTTTACTTTGTACCTCAGATTTTATTTAAGCAATACTGTTAAGCACTAAATACAAATAAGATTAAGAATATAATCCTCATTATACATTAATATATGAATAAACAGAGTTCCTGTCCAGTCAAGGCTCCATTTTTTTAAATGACTCCAAACACAAATCACAGTGGGAAATTTTATCCAGTTTCCCCTCTATTGTCACAGACTTAGCATTATTCAAAGAAGCCGTTTGCTGTAGAAAAGACTCAGATAAGAAAGGAAATAGGAGATCCATAAACAAAATAAGTATTGGATCTAACATTAGATTTCCCCCATCTTTCCAATTTTCTGAGAACTTTAGTATATCTACATGCTGATTTAGGCAATTCTTTTGGCTCCAATTCAGGACAGCTCTTAAGCATGATGAAAGTTAAGTATGTGCTTAAGTGTTCTACTGAACAGGGATGATTTTCCGATTAATTTTTTTTTCTGCAGATAAGTTTAAACTGCTTAGTACGGGAGTGAGCAAAATACAGCCTGCAGGCTGGATCCAGCCCACCATGCAATTCCATCTGGCCTGCAGGCAGGCACCCACCAATTAATTATATCCCAGCTGCCCCTGCTGTGCTTCACATGGGGCTGAGCTCCACCCACTGCCACCAAGGCAGTGCACTGTGCTCCCACCCTTGCCCGTGGGAGGGCCCTGGTCCTGGCCAGCATGCACAACTTCTGCTGCTGCAACTGCCCAGCAAACTGCTTAGCTTCCCCAGCCTCCAGCAGATCCTCCTCCTGTCCCTGCTGCAGCACTCCAGACAGCAGATAGGGAAGTGGTGGCAAACAGGAGGGAAAGTTGCAACTAGGCAGGACAGGGGGGCTAGCAGGGCCAAGGCGGGCAACAGGGGTGCAGAGCTCAGGTTAGCAGGAGCATGGGGGTCCCCGTGGATCACATGCAGCTCCTGGGATTTGGCCAGAGTCGCACACCACCGGGGGAAGAGCCCTGTGCAATGGAGCTGGCAGTTTGGCCCCACTCCCTACTGCCACATGCAGCTCTCGGGAGTCAGCTGGGAACACCGGGGAGCCCCTTGCGATGGAGCCAGGCCAGCTCAGCCCCGCTTCCTGCCAAGTCCCAGAAGCTACACATTGTCCAGGGAGTAGGGCCAGGCTGCGAGGTCCATCAAGTGGGGCTCCCTCAGCTGCACATGGCTCCAGTGGAGTCCCAGGAGCTGCACAGAGTCATGGGGAGCCCTGCACAACAGAGCCAGCAGTCTGACCAGCTGGCTTTCAAAGGGGCAGCCACAGACTTGTAATAATTGTTTTTTGGAGGGGCCCTGCAGGCCAGATTCAGCCTGCAGGCTGTATTTTGTCTGCCCCTGTGGTAAACAATAAAACTACAGGAAGAGCAAGGCTACAAGAAGTTGAAGGAATCCACTATCACATACCAAATGTAAATCTCCAATAGCAGTTTCTAAGAACAAAAAATCTGTAGCATTGCACTAACCAAGATTGCTACATGCTTCTCTTTATGGGAACTAATTAACAAGATTTACAAGTTTGAAAATATTTTCAAACATGTTAACATGTAAAGGGTGTCCTCCCTGCCAGAGCTGTCCCTAGGGATGTGCGGGGCAAGGGAGGAAGGGCGGTGAGCAGCCGGAGCGTGGAGCCAGCGGCACGCTGCAGCCACAGCAGAGCTAGCAGCGTGTGGCGGCCGCAGCAGGGCCTGTACAACACTGTCCGCGGGGCCCAAGGTGGTCGCCCCAATTCATCCCCCCGAGGGATGGGTCTGCCCCCTGCACAACCTTTAATCAATTTGCAGTTGAACTAGCCCTTGACTTGACTATTGCTCTTGTATTACAAGGGAGTTAAGCTACTAATTACATTTTTTGCTTAATGCAGTACTCCATTACAACATTTCACTGGCCTAAATACTGAATAGTTCTTCTTCACATTTTTCAGTTTTAGAAACTACGGAGTTAAAAATACATCAGTATCTTTACTCACATATACATAACAAGGTTTAACTCAGTTTAATAGTCTAGACCAGTAGCGCTCAACCTTTTGGCCATGGGCCAAAGGACTGGCATACAGCTGGCCTGTGGGGCAAATCAAGCCACGAATGCCAGGGTTGGGCCCCATGCCACCTCTGCCTAGTCCCATACTGGGACCAGGCCCCATGCCACCTGAAATCAGCTCCATACTGCCCTATGATTGTGTTGCCCCAATCAGACAGTACAGGGCCTTAATATCTGGCCTACAGGGCATCTCATGGGACTGTAATTCAGCAGCAAGAGCGCAGCAATTAACTGCCACTGCTCCCCCACCATCAAATTTTCAGACCTATGGGAGCTCTCCAAGCCAGATGACATGGCTCTGCAGGCCATATTTGGCCTGCAAGATGGGGGCTGAGCACCCTTGGTCTAGACTTTTTAGCTCATAACCAAACTTATCAGGAAGCACTGAACATATAAGCAATAATATTTAGGTATAACAACTTGAGCAGAAAATTACTTTTTATCTGAGGGGAGAGGGGGGAAATCAGTATCCCTCTTAAATACAGACATCTTCCCTGACTCTCTAGATCACACCTTTGAACTTTGTTCTTCAATTACAGACCTCACTGATCTACCCTGTAAAAGGAAAAGCAAACTAGAGGAGTTGTATTAGAGGAGCTATACAGTTGTGTTTCATATTTCCATCAGAAACAAAAGCCTGCAAGCATTTCTGAGATCCCATAGCTATAAATACCATATACCATAAATAAAAGAAGAGATCATGACATACAGTTAGTAAAACAGCCGTTGTAATATACAGGCTGGTGAAAAAGCAGATTCTCTGTGTAACATAGCGCCAAGGTGCCTTGTGAATATTTATAATGTATTCCAAACCTCAAGAGGAATAATTCACCAGCTGCTGCCTATTGTTGTTCTAGGTGAGCAAGCTACAATTTGACAATCAAGTCACAACAAACAAACAAACAATGAGATCTCTACTAACAAGTATTTTTTAATATTTTAGAAGCAAGTCAACACTGTTATAAATGACACTGAACATTATTAGAGATTTTCTGCACACACTGTATCAGGGTCCTACTTCCGGGAGGAAGCTCCTCCTCAGTTGACGTTTCTCAAACTTGCTCTTTTCTCAAAAAAATGAAGACAAAATCCACTATAACCTGTTCACTCTATTTTGCAGTGATATTCTATTTTACCCTTGGATACCAACCTTCCAGTAACTATGGATCATACCTTAAGTGTATACATGCCCCATGCACGCAAGATTAGATTCTTCTGAACAGCAGTGTCCACTGATTAGGCCACACTGCACACTCTTATGTTTCCCCGCATATGACAGCACAACCGACAGAGTAACTGCAACCTTTCCCTTGATTCCCAGATGGAGAGTGCTCATAAAAGGCCAGAACAGAGAACAAACTGTGAGACCTACAGGGTCTACAATGACTTAAAGCAGCACAATTACTGGAAGGAAAAAAAAAAAAAAAAAGGAGAATAATCGCTTTTTCTTTTTTGACATGCATTTTGGTGGATCCCACTCTAGGTAAATGCTAGCCAACATCGATCTAGAAGTTGGGACTGAGGAGTCCTGATCGTCACTAAGCAAAGCAGTAATTTTATTGTTTTTGCAGCCAGGTCAAGGACACAGTATTTAACAAGAACAAGGAGAATTACTGTATGGAGCTGCCTTGCAAGCAGAGGATGGAACTTGTGTAGAAGTGGCGTCAGCTTTAATATATGGCAGGAGCTGTACATCAGCCAAAAGACAGCAAACTGATAAGTAAGGCATAATCCAGTTTTGAAAATCTGCAAGAGGAAGGCTTATCTGTTTGAAGCAACAGAGACAGCAAATAAAAACATAAGAAAATAGTCTAACAAGGTCAGAGTAACAAGGCCCTTAACACATCAAAAGCATTGGGTCTCTTTCCCAGTCAGTAACAGGTTAATCACTGTGTGGGTATAGGGAGGGAAAGGGAGAAATTGATAGTCAAATGAAAGTCTGACAACTTCAGATATAAAACTTGGAACGAGATCTTATCCTCACGTTCTCTCCAAAATGTTGTGTAGGAAAAGCATCCATAACTATCACTGCTGCTTTTGGCTGACAACCCCTACCACTGTTCATATATATTAGCCTACAGAACTCCTTCAGTGCAGATTCTCGCAAACAGATCAGAATGGTTAACTTGCTACCTCACTGCTTGTACAATTAGTTTATTAAATATGAAGTTTCATGTCTTTTTGAGAGACATGTTCCTTATATTTGTAGATGGCCTAGTTGTATGCCTGAACCTACACCTGATGCATAAGTCAGCATCCTAGTATTTTTTTTATTTATTTAGCGAATGCAAACCTGCGAAGCCAAGCAACAGCCTCCTCGTTAGCTGAATTCAAAGTTATTAACCCACCTCTTAGTTTGTCGAGGGGGACACTCCTCAGTGATGCGCAGCATTATTTGCATCTCTCCACATGTGAACGAAGGGTTAGCACTGAGGACCCAGGGCAAAGCCCGCAGCAACAGCCAGCCCTCACCACATGCACAGATCCCAGGGGCACACCCCCTCATGCTTGCCAGGAGTACACACAGCAGCAGGAGCTGCCCTTTCCCTGTCCCCCCCTGCCCCCCAAGCCACTCGTGGATCTGTCCCGTGCTCTGCCCCAGCTGGGCAGCACCTATTGGTGCTCCTTTGCTTTGGTGCCCAGGACAGTCACCCCACTCCCCCCCCCCCTTTGCAACAGCACTGGTTGGCTGCACAGGGGTCTTGGCCTGTCCTCAACCTGTTAAAGCACAGACCACTCTCGCTGTGATAGTTCAAAACCAGCAGGTTGACGAGTGGGGATTGTCACAAGGAACTTGTTTGTGACCTCCTGTGATTCCCATTCCTTGATCCAGGGGTTTCTGCAAGCAGATCCTGGTGAGGGAGGTTGCTCCATAAGGGGCATCGTG